GTTCTTCACTAGCAGGCTACGTTCATCACAACGCTGACCTGTTCGATACACACAATGATGCGATTCGCCACAAACGGGTCCTGATTTTGACCTTTCACCTCATCTAAAAGGTCCAACAGTTTCGCGACCTCGGTGGCTATAGAGTCTTCCATTGCCAACAGTCGACCTTTCTGTCTTTCCACCCTGTCAATAATTGTTGATGCATCAACAGTGAGGGCCAGTACGAGTGTTTCGAACTTTTCTCTCGCCTTCAACTTTTCGGCTGGTGATCTAGAGGGAATGAGAAGAAAATTATAAGTGATGATTTGAATTTCGTTATTTTTATTATGGTAGTAACTTACTTATCACGACATACGCTTAACATTGGCAAAGCAGTTTTTAAACTTGGTATTATCTCAGAAACATTTTGGTTTATCTGAAAATATGGCGTTATACATTAATAAAATTATTCTATTATATATTAAAACAAAAGTTGGGTTGGACTTTTTTCTAGTTAAATACAGTATTTATTCCACTACTGTCCTTTTGTCTACAATTGAAACAAACATTTTTAAGTACCTACTATTTAGTTATTATCTTCACCAGATAATTAAAAAAGTATACTTACTTCATTTTCCTCATTACTTGCAATGTTTATAGTTCGTTGATGTTGCGAAGTCAAACATAAATTAGTTACGTCACCAGAAAGACTATCAGTACTCTCCCTTGCGTCGTTCTTATTTTTGTTATTAAGCTGTTCCAGCTCTTTCTTTAGGTCGACATTTGTTTCATTTAACTTGCAAATTTCTTTGGAAAGTTCTGAATTTTCATCAAGCACATTTTTACTATGTTTCTTTTCTTCTTCTAGCTGTTTTTCGAGACATTCATTTTTCTCTTGTAATTTTTCAATTTTAATTTTAAGACGGTCGTAGGAACATCTTCCTGATTTCGGAGATTTATGTTCTTGAGTATCGCCGCGAATTTTAGACAAAGCCGTTAATTGTTCATTAAGACGTGCTGTTTCAGATTCCAATCGATTAACGATCTGTTCATTTTCCTTAAGTGAAATGTGAAGCTGATGATTTTTCTCTTTTAATTTTTCAATATTTTTTTCTTTTAATATGAGTAACGTTGTAAGTTCTTCTACTTCAGTGATTTTTTGCTGATAACGATTTTCGAGTTCTTTGAAATCTTTCTGCAGATATGCGAATGTAACATCTTTTTCTTTCGACGATTGTTTCAACTGACTCAAATCGTGGGATAGAGACTCCAGATGAGCATTTTTTGTTTCTATGGATTTACTCATTTCACACACCTGTACTTCGTAATTCTCCAGCGACGTCTTTTGCAACTTAAGCACGCTGTTTAAACTATCAGATTCATCTTTCAGGAACTTGATTTTAGAAGAAAGTTCGTTTCTTAATTTTTCTGTTGTTTTTTCTCTATTCTTCACCTCCTCTTGTAATGATTTAATTTGTGTTTCAGACGTCACATTGTTTGTGTACAATTGAGACTTCATGGTCTCTATTTGAATATTGAGAGCATCAACTGAACATTTAAGACTATTTATTGTACCTTCCTTTTCAGTAAGGTGTATATTCAGTTCCTTATTGTAATCTTCAAGATTATTCATAGAATTATTTATAAGAGTAATTCTTTCCATTAAACCACTATTTAAAGTATTTAGTTGTTGTATGTAATCTTCTTTTTCGTGTAATACTTTTCTTGTTAATTCCAGTTTGCTCGTCAAATTTTGGTCGTTATCTTCAAACTTTTGAATTAATTCTTCTTTTTGTTCTAGTTCAGATTTCAAAAAATCAATATCGCGTTTGAATTTTTTTTCATTTTCTTCCCTAGCGTATATATCTGCTCTGAGCTGATCAAACTCATCCTGCAATCTATCAAATTTCGCTCCTTCTAATACAATCTTTTCGTTTAACTGTTGGTTCAACATTTCTAGTTGACGTAACGACAGTTGTTGTTCTTCAAATTTACTTTTGGTGTCGGTTAGTTCACCTAACTGATATTGCAAGTTTTCGATTAACAATTCAAGGTCTTTGATGGCATTTTCTCTCTTTTCTATATCAGTTCTTAATTGCAAAATATCTTTTTCATGTACCTTTTCAGATTCTTCAAAGCTATTATTTGCGTCTTGTAATTTGGTTTGAAGATCACTAACAAGGTGCTGAAAGTCTTGTACTATATCATCTTTGTTCTTCACGACTTTTATAAGATCGCCGATGTTTTCCTCCAACTCTGTTTCTTTCTTCTTCTCTAACAAAATAGTTTCTTCTAAATGTGCATTATAATCGCTTAGTTCACATAAAGACTGGTCTTTCTTTTCAACTGACGTTTGAAACTCTTCAATTTGAGCATTAAGGGCATTTAATTGTATGTCTTTTTCTTCATTTAGTTTATTAAAATGTTGAACTTTTTTTTCGAAATCTTCAAAGTTTTTATCTTTTTCCTTAATAGTATCTTCCAATTCTGCAGTTGTTTTGCTATTATAAATTTTAAGTTGAACTATAAGGGCGTCTTTTACTGCAAGTGATTGTTGTGTTTGGAAAATTTCATTCTCAAGGTGCTTTATGGTCTCTTCTTTTTCATTAAGTATTTGGTCGAGTTTATTCACTTCACGGCGAAGCATCATNATTATATAGAAAATACACTTACTGTATACTCTATAATACATGCAATTATTTATTAAAGGTGTACATGGGTACTTTCAGGCAAGAGTAATTACATACAACTTTCTCTATCAACACATTTGTACATCTATATTTTGTGCCATAATATATAAGAAAATGTTAACCCACATGTAATAAAATAACCAAATAAACGGGCCTACTTTAAAACAGGTGTAATTTTTAATTATTTATTAGATTAGATCAGGACACTTGACAGAATTGAAAGGAGAAAATTATAGACGTCACATGTAGATATGTGAGAAATTATTTCATACATGTACCTCACATTATTCTAAATTTTATAGCTTACCTGTCCTATGAAATACAAAATTAGGCATATTCCACCAAAATTTAGCCGCAACCTTGAAAATGTTTTCCTAAGCGGGAGTGCCATTTCCGAAATTATGGTAGCACAAACACTTACAAGTTAAACACGAATACACACTAGCACAATAATTTATAATAAATAATCTTAACTTATATACGTATTATATTTGCTAGAAAGTACTATTTAAAAAATCTTATTTAACATTTTGACAAGTTAACCGTCATCTCAGCGAACTGTACAAAGTGATAAACACGAAACGATGAAATCGGAACAACACTTCATGGTTACGGTTCGTGAATGTTCGTGAAAGCGACTGAATACGAAGTTGTATATACCAGGACAATTTTTAAAAAAACTCGACCAAATTGTACGCCTCTACCAAAACAACCAAACTTTTTACGAAGTACCAATATAATATATCTTGCAAAATTACATATTAGTGATTATGTTAATGATAGTACGCATTGAAAGAATTACTCCATTTTTAACTCATGTTCCTTTATCAAAAATGAATTTATTCAAATTGCCACAATTATTTTTTAAGGTATTTAATTATTTAATAATGGTATCAAATCAAATCACAAATCTTAATTAGCTGTAATTATTTAGTTAAATTAAGTATTATTTGTTTGGGTTATTCTAATTAATTAAAATTATTGAAGTTTAGACCTCATAGGGTAGTAGAAAAGTATTCCAACAAAATTGACTTGAATTGCGACAATGAAGGTCAAAAAAATGGAAAGGGAACAACTTCAAGCCGATATTTGCAATGACGTTTATTCTAAATGTCTCATGTACAAAATGTACCGTATAATTTTTAAACTAAGGAAATATATAAAATAGCTTTAATGTACATCTGTAAATGTTTATTTCTTCTGACAACGTAATCAGTTTGTTTAGCTAGCCTTTCATAAAAAGCAATACGGAACTCCATCATGGACTACCCAGGTGACAATGCAGGTCTTGGATTAACAGGAGAACAAATAGATAAAATAGCACAATTTCAAGAGTTGAGTGGAATAGATGATGTGTCCGTGTGTAGAGAAGTTCTCCAAAGACATCAGTGGAATGTGGAAGTGGCCATACAAGAACAACTGAACATAAGGGAAGGCAGACCTTCAGTTTATGCTTCTGAAGCAAGGCCTCCAGCTGTAGTTAGTGATCATATAGGGCAACATATATTTTATTCGCCCCCCTCGGACGGATCGGCTAGCGGACTCAGAGGTTTTATTAGAAGCATATTGAATTTCTTTTGGACTGTGTGTTATAATACTATAGTTGCATTTTTACAAATGGGAAGAAGAATATTACGTCCAGATGAAAGAGGCTGTGAGTTGTGTTATAATTAGATTTGTTTTAAAATATATGTTTTTATATAATGCAGTTGTAAGTGATTACTATTTTTTTCTTATAGATATAACAGATCCATTGCAAGAAGTACAAGATTTTATTAGGGCATACAATGAAAAATATTCAGAAAGGCATCCAGTTTTTTATCAAGGAACTTATGCACAAGTTTTAAATGATGCCAAAAGAGAGTTGAAATTTCTTCTTATATATCTACATAATGAAGATGCTGTTGACACAAATATGTTTTGTAGGTAAGTTTTAAGAAAATAATAGAACTGCAAGTAAAACACAAAATTCTACGATCTACAATTTTTTTAGGAACACCTTAGCAAATGAAGAAGTTATAAGTTATATAAATAACTTCTTTTTTTGGGCCTGTTCGACAAAATCGAATGAAGGTTATAAAGTCTGCCAAATCTTTCATCCTAAACATTATCCATTCTTATCAGTGGTGGTATTGAAAGATAACAAAATGATGATTGTGAGCCGCATGGAAGGCTACTGTGATGGACCAACTCTTATTGAAAGACTACATATGGTTGTTGCTGAAAATGAGGTCAATCTTGTGCGAGCCAGAGCCCAAAGGTCAATGAATGGAATTTTGCAAATAATTTGCATATTTTAAATATTCATATTTAAATTAAAAATTTTTGAAATCGATTTTTCAGGATGGAGACCAGCTTAAATCGTTCCCTACGTCAACATCAAGATGAAGCCTTTTTAGAATCATTAAGAGCTGATCAAGAAAAAGAAAGGAGAAGGCAAGAAGAGCGAGAGGCTGCTGAAGCAGAAAGGAGACGTCTCCAAGAAGTAAGTATATTTAAATTTATAATTGTAGTGTTATTCCCAAATCTTAGCTATTACAAATACATGCTTGTACAGTTTTTATTAAGATAAAGGATAGCGCAGGGTAGAATCGCCTTTAACAAAAAGGAGTCACTAGAAATTCAAAAATATTTACACGGCGAATAATATTAGGTATTAGAAAGAGTAGGAGAATAGAGGACACACATGAAGGGTTAGTTAGAGACATATTAAAAGCAGAAGCAGGAGTTAAGAGAAGCAGAGGCAAACCTAGATTTTTAGTGTTGACGAGATTGGTAAACTTGCAGAACTATTAAAAACCAATGTTATTGTAATTAATATTGTTGTAACAACCATATGCCATTGTATTTTTATCATTGCTTTTTTTAATCCCATAGGAAATTTTGGCAGAGGAGCGTCGACGTGAAGAAATTGCTCGATTAAAAATTGATTCTGTAGTAAATGTGCCTAGCGAACCTGATATAAGTCATCCGGACGCGATTCATATTGTTATTAAACTTCCTTGTGGGACCCGACTGGATAGACGATTTTTGAAAACACATTCCTTAGAAGTAAGTGACACTTTTTTGTCTTCATTTTTATTATGTACTTATTATTGATTTAAACATAGTACTAAATGGTAAATGAAATACAACTAAATTATATCCATTCAAAAAGTTTTCATCGTAAAATTTGAAGTTACAAATGTACCCAATTCTGTTTTTACACTAGCTGTTTTTACGAGAATTAGAAAATTATTTTTATACCATACCGGGTAAAAAACACATTTACTTATGTGCTGTTAGGAGTGGAAGGGTCGGTGCGATCTGGTGTCACATAACGCTGATAGATATTTTTTTATATTTGTATTGAAAATACCGCAGTCAGAACGTCTAGCGCTCTAGCTTCTCTATTTTTTTGGATTAAAAGTTACGTAAATAAAATATTTAAGACAGAGGAGGGACATATAGAAAACGCGGTACGTGGCTTATGGATGGCCCCTTACTAGGAAGTCAATTTAAAACTTATTTATATTAATTACACTTTAGCAATTCAGAAGTAGTGTTTGCGTAGGTATACAGGTACATGTAGGCATTCTATATTCATTAAAAAATAGTACGAGAAGACTAGTAGCACAGCTCCCTAATAAAATATATGTTTATTTTCGTGAATTTTTTTCATGGGACTAAAAGTACAAAGATCTTTTGAATTAAATCATTGAATGGGAATCGCATATTAAGGCATTATAATACGAATATTAGTTTGTGGATTTTCAAAAGTCTGAAACCATTCTTTTTTTTTTCGAAACATGCAATGTATTATTTTAAATGTTTTTTTTTCTCTTGGGAAATACATTTTTTGGGTAAAAACAAAATTGGGTGTAGGTACAATTATTTCATAAATATATTTGATCGAAAATAATTTAAAAGAAGTAAATTAACCAACACTTTATTTTGTTTATTGTTACTTTTTAGTGTTGTTTTATTTACCGTTAAGGTCACAAAGCAACTTGAATCAATCCAAAATTTAAAAAAGTTAAATTAATTGTTTCATAATAAGCAGTTGATGTTTTAAAAAAATCATAATTTCCTCAATTTTCTTTTGCTAGTAATGCAGGCATCATTATTATGAACTGTTTTAATGACTTATTAGACCATAATTTTAATTATACAGAGGAGACCTTTACAATCGGTTTACATAACATTACAATGATAAGAACACCCTGTTTATTAATAGAAGTTTATGTTTTGCTTTTATTAGTTCATGAAATCATTTTAGGCGGTATTTTATTTCGTATTTTGTCATCCGAATTCACCGGACACATTTGAGATAACAACGAACTTCCCTAAGCGCGTTCTAAAGTGCAGACCTTCAGATTCTTCTGAAATAATCCAAACGTTGGAAGAGGCTGGACTAAAAAATAGGGAAGTGCTTTTCATCAACGATTTGGATGCATAGTTAGTGCATAAACGAGTCAGTGGACGGTCGTTATACTTTTCTGCTGTTACAACTACTACTACCAGTGTTGTTATCGCTGCTACTATTGTTTTTGTTGTTTTCCCTCATCTAAGAGAAAGATCTATCTATATTTTGTATGTTTTTCTTGTATTTGCCGCAAACGAAAGTAAACCGATAATGAGAGTTTATATTTCAGTTGTTAACGTGCGCCATTATTATTTTTTTTATAGTTGTAGGTAACTGTGACAATTGCATTTATTTTTGGTTATTTTTATATAATTTTAAAAACACTGTCTGTTGGAATATCATTTTTCTGGACGTGAAACCGATGGTGTGGGAACGTTGTATACTATTTTTCATATGCACGAATACAAAAAGCATGTAATATTTATTACTACGAAAACAATTTTCTTCTCGTACTCTCCTTCATTCTCTCCCTTTTGATGAAGTGCTGTAATAATGTGAAACTGTAAATTTGTATTATACTTATTAAAAAACACTTGTGATCTAAATAAATCACGTTCACGTTACATTCCTGTTGTTTTTCCATAAATATATACAGTAGTATACACCCGATAGTGTGAACCGAAAAAAAAAAAAAAACAATTGGTCACATTATCAGTTATAATTTCATTTAATTGTATAACACGCATAACTTCCTTTTCAAATTGCAAATATAGTTTATCTTAATTGGAAAAAAAAATAAAACAAGTAATGTGTATGTACAAATTTATTTTATAACAAAATAACAAAAGTAATCAATACGAAAATATACCTTTATATTTCTATAATAGTATCAAAAGAAGGTAACTACGCTTTTTGGCTTATTTAAAACAAAGAAAATAAATTGTAAAAAGAAAAGAAAATTAAACTGGGCGTGGTCCGTGTCCATAATTAACATTAATAAAGGGAGAGCAGAGATCTTCATCTCCAAGGCATGTCACCACTATCAGTGTTATTACATAGATAAAAATAGTTGCGGCACACAGTTGATAAAATATGCAAAAGGCACTCGACTTGAACATTCTGTAACATCTTTCAATTAGAAATCTTCCATAAGGCGATTGTCTGAAATTTAACATGAAATTAATTATTTCCCATTAAAAATTTATCCTTTTTTAATTTGTTTTTAAATATTAATGAAGTATGTGGGTTTTTAAAACGTTTTAACTTTTAATGGGATTAAAAGCATACCCTTCATCGAGGGCAGTGGTCTTAACGTATCCGGTACCGTTATAATCTTTGTTTCTATCTTCAAATAAGAGAATATCCGGAATTTCAAACAAATTGCATGATTGAGATTTTGAGCTAAAATTATGTATTTGTATTAATTACTTGAATAATATGAAGAAGAAGTTATGATCTTAAAAAATAGCCGCAGTAAATGTTCCAATACTTTTTAAAATTGTAGGAGTAATTAATTGAATAAGTCACAAACAGTCAATGTATACACACTAAAAAACAAGGAGATAAATTTCTGTTCATTTTATTATTGTTTTTTTTTAGAACGTTCTCCAAAAATTTCTAGCAATTTTATGTAGCAAATAAAAGTAATTTACCTTTTACTTAAGCCACTGAGCTGACTTGTAACACTGTCGAGATCTCGTTGAACGTCCGAAACGTAGTTTATTAATGTACACATAGAATGTATAAAGTTCTGTTCCTGTTGTAACGATCCAGTCTTCATGGCCGTCATTACCGTTTTTGATGCTACGTTCATCACAACGCTGACCTGTTCGATACACACAATGATGCGATTCGCCACAAACGGGTCCTGATTTTGACCTTTCACCTCATCTAAAAGGTCCAACAGTTTCGCGACCTCGGTGGCTATAGAGTCTTCCATTGCCAACAGTCGACCTTTCTGTCTTTCCACCCTGTCAATAATTGTTGATGCATCAACAGTGAGGGCCAGTACGAGTGTTTCGAACTTTTCTCTCGCCTTCAACTTTTCGGCTGGTGATCTAGAGGGAATGAGAAGAAAATTATAAGTGATGATTTGAATTTCGTTATTTTTATTATGGTAGTAACTTACTTATCACGACATACGCTTAACATTGGCAAAGCAGTTTTTAAACTTGGTATTATCTCAGAAACATTTTGGTTTATCTGAAAATATGGCGTTATACATTAATAAAATTATTCTATTATATATTAAAACAAAAGTTGGGTTGGACTTTTTTCTAGTTAAATACAGTATTTATTCCACTACTGTCCTTTTGTCTACAATTGAAACAAACATTTTTAAGTACCTACTATTTAGTTATTATCTTCACCAGATAATTAAAAAAGTATACNTTATTTATTTGACTGGGAGTTTTGCTTAAATTTGGACTGACCGGATTCTCAAGCATCTCTTTCAATTTCGGACTGTTGAAAACTTTTGCCTCGTGGTGTATGAAAGCGGTAATTGGAGAATTTGGAAAACGATTCGATTGCTGTTTTTGATGTACTATATGTAGACCACTATTTGGTGTGTTATTTAAATTTTTTGTACCTGAAGAACTTGAGATTAACGGGTTAGGTGGAGTTGAAGGAATAATGTAGGTTTGAGACAACTGTCCTCGTAACAACTTTTCCAGGGTAATTTTTTCCACTTTGAGACCCTTAAAAGAAGAAATTCAACTACTAAACCACGAATTCTTAATAGGGTAATTTTTACAGTATAAAAAATATGCATTTGCATGTATACAATGTTTAGATTTCAAAAGATAAATTATGTGATTTTTAATTAGTGAAAATTCAAGTCACCCAATCAGAATACGAATTTATTTTCTGTATTACAGTTTAGCCCGATTTGCTTATTTTTAGCTTTCATCAAGAAAAATCCGTTCTGTTTGGTTGATTATTTTGAGTTTCTTATTTTATATTAGCTGATAATAATTGGTAAAGTACTGGAACAAAAAAACAAAAAGTTGAAAAAGATCCCGAACCACTTTCGACAGACTTTATAATAAATCTTTTTCATGTTTACATTTTAATTTTTATTTTATACTAACGCTCAATAAGTAATATACAATTGTTCATAAATTACGCAAACAACCCTCCCGCTCTTCTCCGAGCGTGCAGACATTATACTGTTGAGAGGGAGTCATAAAAACAAGTTTTAATTCTCTCTTTCAGAAAGATCGAACGACAAAATTTATTTTACCGTGCAATTAATTGAAAAAAATCAGTAAAATAGTATCTTCCTATACTGCAGTTGTTTTGCTATTATAAATTTTAAGTTGAACTATAAGGGCGTCTTTTACTGCAAGTGATTGTTGTGTTTGGAAAATTTCATTCTCAAGGTGCTTTATGGTCTCTTCTTTTTCATTAAGTATTTGGTCGAGTTTATTCACTTCACGGCGAAGCATCATTTCAATATCTTCTTTGATAGAAATCTGTTGATTTAAATGACTACTGAAGGTTGTCAAATATGTGATAGATTTTTCGTTGTCCTCTAAAAATTTCTTTAATTTGTTAATTTCTGTTTTTAAAATCTTTTCATTTGTATGACTCTGTGTTATTTGCTTCTCTAATTCTGATTGTATTTTTTTCGTGTGTTCCAATTCCTTTTGAAGTTGCTCTATTAATTGATCATTTACTTTAACGCTTTCAAATTTCTTTATTTGGGTATTCAACGATTCAATGTCCTTTTCTAAGCGTTTTATAACTACTTCTTTCTTTTCAATCAATGTGTTACATTCACATATTTTTTGAGACTGTATTTCTTCAGTTTGTTTTTTTATTAAATTGTCATCATCCAATTGTTTAGCTAAGTTATGAACAAGACGTTTTAGTTCCCAGATAGTTTCTTCTTTTGTAGCAATTGTGATTTTTAATTCGCTAATTTCTTCTAAAAGGCTATTTCGATTTTCTTCAGAAGCTTTTGAATTTTCGTTTAACCTGCTGTTCAGAATTTTCATTTCAGTTTTAAGTAGTTCAATGTGATTTTCTTTTTCTTTCAACGTTTCATTGAGTTTTTCTGCAAAATATATTTTCAGTTCGTCATATTCTTTTTTAAGATTATCGAATGAGTCCAATAAGCTAAGATGTTCGTGTTCAAGATTTTCTGTGGCACATTCTTTTAATTGCAAGTCGTGTTTTAATTTACCCAGTTCCGCAATAAGATTTTTATTCTTGTGTTCGTTATCTAAAATCGTTTGATTTAGGATGTTTTTCTGTTCTTTTATTTCTTTAATTTCAATTGCCAACATTTCTTCGTGTTTAACGATATTTTTAATTTTTTCTTCTAATTCTAATATATAAGAACAATTATTTTCGTTCAAACACTTCAAGTCAAGTTTTTCTTCTATGAGCAATTTGACTTCATTTCGTAAATTAGTATTTTCCTTATTAGTTTCCGTTTCATTTAGTTTGATGAGTTCAAGTTCTTTTTTAAGTTCCTCCAACTCTTCAGTACAAACCTCCAAACGCCTTTTTAAATCATCATTTTCTTCTTGCATTTGATCAAGAATGTTTTTCGAATTGTTATTAACTTCATTTTCTTTGCTTACCTAAAATATGTGAATTTGTAGTTTGTATACATTCAAAAATATGTACATAGTTTAAATATTGTAATTATTTGCTTTACATACCCAAGTATATGATTTACTGCTCTTTTACATAAAATAAAAATTTAAAAACTGTGTATACAGAATTGAATACAAAAACAAAAATTATTTGTTTATCTCATATCCCTTGTTATGAGAGTGAAAACAACAAGACTTTAACTATTTTACTGTTAAAATAAGCTTATACCTGAGATAGTTCATATAGTAATGAGTGTTGTGTGGTCATCGCGGATTCAGTTAATGGCATTTTTGAAAATAAATCATCTTCGCTGCTTGTATCATGAAGAAATATAGAGCTAGTCGAGTTATTTTTCAGTGGGGAATCACCAGTTGCAGCCTTTAATTCCGCATCTACAATATTAAAAAAATTCATCGTAGGTATGAAATTTATTAAAAAAAAAACAATGATGAATTTTGTGTAAGCATAGTTATTTATTATAAAAGTTTTTCTGAAACAATCACACTTCATCCTCGTAACCGTATACCTTTACATTTTGGTTGACGTAATTTGTCTGACTTTTGTGGAAGTGGAATTGTTGGTCCTGATTCTGGTTCACCGACTAATCGATATTTCTTGAAAAATGTCGATTCACTTTGTTTCAGTTTGGGATGAAAAGATATCTGATCATTGTTTACCGTATCATTTTCTTCGAGTTTCTTCTCGAACGATGAGGAAGTGTTTGAATCTAAAGGTTTATTTATTTGACTGGGAGTTTTGCTTAAATTTGGACTGACCGGATTCTCAAGCATCTCTTTCAATTTCGGACTGTTGAAAACTTTTGCCTCGTGGTGTATGAAAGCGGTAATTGGAGAATTTGGAAAACGATTCGATTGCTGTTTTTGATGTACTATATGTAGACCACTATTTGGTGTGTTATTTAAATTTTTTGTACCTGAAGAACTTGAGATTAACGGGTTAGGTGGAGTTGAAGGAATAATGTAGGTTTGAGACAACTGTCCTCGTAACAACTTTTCCAGGGTAATTTTTTCCACTTTGAGACCCTTAAAAGAAGAAATTCAACTACTAAACCACGAATTCTTAATAGGGTAATTTTTACAGTATAAAAAATATGCATTTGCATGTATACAATGTTTAGATTTCAAAAGATAAA